AAAATAGGGGTGGTGGCGCAGAGATAAGATGCCTGCCTTTGGTGTGAGAGACCCAGGTTCAATTCCCACTGTGAGACATCTACCATTGTGTCCCTGAGCAAGACACTTAACCCCTCGTTGCTCCAGAGGCGTGCGACCTCTGACATGTATAGCAATTGTAAGTCGCTTTGGATAAAAGCGTCAGCTAAATGAATAAATGTAAATATAAAATGAAAACAAGACATCAGCTTAGGCTTTCTTCATTATTTCTTGACATTTTATAAACAGAGCAATTTATCGTTAAATTGAGAAAATAATCTGAATTAAAAATAATTGAGAGTTGCAGAGAACCTTTCATCTCACTTCCCTCTCTGAGAAAGGTTTATTTGCACAATAACAAAACATGCAGTGCAATTTAAATATAGCAGAAACAAAAGTGCATGGTCCAAAAAAAGTAAATTAAGCTTAAAGAAAACTACCCGGTGTGACCCCCGAATTGTGCATCGTCAGGTCTCTAATCTGAGCCTTTATGCCCTCCATGTCTCTCAAACACAAAGTGTTAGCAGAAAGGGAACTACAAATTTCATCTCATTATAAAACCCTGAGTTGTACAGTAACACATTAATCTCTGTGTTTGTAGCCATGAGGACACGTTTTAATCTCGGAGGCTTTTCTAGTTAATTAAAGGTTAAATTAAGGAAGTTAAAACCATCTCAAACCCTCTGACTGCAGTTTTCCTCTGCGCCCCAGGTGAAATTCTCATAAACCCTCTAAAAGCAGAATATTTAGCCAGATATCTCCCCCTCCTCCCTGCCTGGTATTTTCCTTCTCTCTCCGTCCTGGTGTCATTAACAGTGATTTATACGAGGGCTCTCTGGAACATGGATGGTGCCAATAGGTGGGATGTGGGTACATCGCCCCAGCCGCCGCCGCCCAGCCCTCCCCGCTCACCCTGCTCCTCGCCGCCGGTGATTGATCAACACAAACACAACGCAATGCAGGAGGAGGAGACGCACACAGAAACACACAATTAGTGTGTGTGTTGTGTTTCGGGGGCGGCGGCCGTTTGTGTGTGCTGCTTTGAGATGAATAGAGAGGCCCGTCTGCAGAGACCTGCAGCTTTATTTTGGCTTTTAGTATTCAGCTGAAACATCTGTGCCAACGCAAACAGCCCAGAGTTTCACCAGACTCTCAGTTCAGACTTTTTCCTCCTGTAATGAGAAGCGAAATATTATGTTTATGAATGAGGCTGTGCAGCTGAAGCTCTGCAGTTTAAATCCAGCAATTAGGAAGGTGTCGGATTTAAACCCTGTTCTGCTGCTAAAGACTTTATAAATGGACCAGACTGCTGAGAAGTTTAGGTAATGTGTTTAATAACACGATATGAATATTATTTTATGTCAATACAAATTAAAATATGACATTAAATTCATGTTTAATGCAACAGAGCAGCTACTGGTCACAGCCGAGAGACAATTTCACACAAAACCTCCAGTAAAAAAGCCGATTTAAGTTGCTAAACTTTGGTTTTTGTTTGGAAACAGACGATGGAAGGTGTAAATCAGCAAGCGTTAGAGGTGCTGCGAGGTGGATTTGGTTCTGTTGGGCAGAACCAGGCTAGCTGTTTCCCCCCGTTTCCAGTATTTGTGCTAAGCTACATGGCTGCTGGCTGTAGCTTCAGACATGTGAGTGTTTGTCGCTGTACAGAGCGAGATGATGCTTCATATTGAGGTTTGTTTGTGTCGCCTGATGAAGTCCGGTATTCGCTCTCTGTTCGCTCTGTGTTTGGTCTCCACCAGCTCCTGAGGGAAATATCTGGCTCTTTAGCCGCTAAACGCTCCCCAATATTCACCAGCTGCTCTCTGACTGTTGCAGCTCGTGTACGGTGACTTTTTACAGCCCTCACAAGAGAAATGGCCGTACAGGTCGATGATACAGCAGCTTATTACGACCCATATTTTTGTTAGGCGGCTACCTCGATTAGCAGAAAAAGTCAGGTGACGTTGTACAAAGAGGTGGTGGGGTGGATGGATGAGTCAAGTAAGCTCAGGAGACTGCGGTTCGAGTTCTGCGTGGAAGAAAGTTCAAATGTTTGAAGTTCAGTAACATTTACGTAAGTAAACGTAAGTCGTAGCCTACAGCGTATACTGCGCGCATAGCCACAAGTTTATACTTGTGCCTGCGTTATTCTGCAATTACATCGCCAAAACGCTAGTTGGCAGTAGCATTGTAGCGTCCACTGTGTTAACTTCTGCAGGCTAACTCCTGGTTTAGCCCTCCACTAACTTTTATGGGGTAAAATAAGAATCATGCGGCTCTTCTAGACTTTCCAAATGCAGTCTACCGAATGGATAAATCAGACTTTACATCACATGACTTACATCATGTACTTAAGTTCTGGTTTCTGGACTGGTTGGTAGGTTGTTCCTACGGACATATGCTATTCTGGGACGTTTGACAGTGAACCTATTTGGTTGTTTAGGTTTGAGGACGTGTTGCTTTTTACAGCTTCTTCTTCTCTGGACACGACGCTCTGTGAACCAGAACGGACAACCACCCAGCTGAAAGTCACTGTAAAGACGCAGCTGATGATTCTCTACCAGAGACGCCAACATGCTGTCAATATATACTGTTGTTATGAAAATATCGATTATTTTTAATTGATAACTGATAGAGCTGGTAACAGGAACTATGCATCTATATAATATACATATATATGAAGGTCTGCCCATTGCAACAACAGACGCGCTCTTTAGTGTTTGATAATAGTGAGAAGGTAAAATATGGGACTGTATCCTTTCACAGATGAGACTATCTCATTAAGCGATATGCAGATTTATGCAGACATTTGGATAACAAATCAGTTTGGCGGCGTTGTGTTGATAATGAAAGAGTAAAAACAACAAGATAAAAAAAAGACTCACAGGAGAACAAGAAGACAGAAATAAAAGTTTAAACAGGAAAGGAAGACAAAGACAGGAAAGGTTAACAGCTCACCTGCTGTTCAGGTGAGCTCTCAGTAATAAGCTAATCGGTGTCATTTGCACACTTCCTATTAATGTTTTCACCACCTTTCATTTTGAAGCAGGCGATGTCAGAAGTGTCAGAGTAATTTAAACAGATTGAACCAAAATGCACAAGTTAAAAAGTATTATGCTATATGCTAGCAGCTCTGTGACTTAGACACAGATGTGCTTTGAGCTAAATGCTAACTTCAGCATGCTAACATGCTCACAGTGACAGTGCTAACATGCTAATGATTAGCAGGTATAATGTTCACCATCTTAGTTCAGGAAATCTCAACTTCTGCAGCTGTATAACGGCGTAATAACATTCCTAAAATCGAAAATAATTTCTTTAGTTTTCTTGGTGTCGAAGAAAACCTGCTCCAACCAACAGACCCACCCGGTAGCTGGTGTCATCATCATCATCATCATCATCAAACCAATGATTGCTGTATCTTCAGCAAATGTAATAGAAACATGATCCGATGTGTTGCTTCCTCATTAATTCATATAGAATATAAATAAAACTGGATTACAACAAGAAGAGCGTCAGTCTGATGTGCTGCAGACCAGTCAGGTTTTGTCGTCGGGTCGCTCAGATGCTCCTTAGTGTCTGGTCTCACGCTGTAACAGCATCCTGGTATACTGGTCTGTTTGCAGAGAGGAGCTGCTGTAAACTGGACCGGTTCATTCTAGTCTGACTGCTTCGGCTTGGCTCCTGTCTTCGCCATATGGTCCGTTCTGGCAATAACACGCTGTACTGTTCACTTGGCTGAACACTGAACAGTAATTAGTCACTTTCTCCTCGCATGCTGCTCCTCAACTGTCAGCCATCAGTTCATCTAATGCTTCATGTCTTTACAGTTTTCTTACAGTTTAGTCATTTAGACAAAGTACAGGAAAGTGCTTCACTTTCACATCACGTCATACTGTGAGCAGCTAACTAGTTTCTACCTACAGCTGAACTGAGCATCACTTCCTAAGCCAGGGAGCACATTATGAACTACCTGCATTGGTTTGTGGGGTTACAGGTTACATTTGAAAGAAGCCCTGTTTATGATTGTCAATGAAATTTTACTTTATTTCATATCATGCACAAACCTGGCACATTGCACATATTTGTTGTTAAATGTTAATCTTTGTTGTTCTTTATTTTTATATTTTGTCTGTTTATATCGTTATATTTATGTACACAATATTCTCTTGTTGCAACACGTCTGCACAACACAAACCGGAGTAATGCTCAAGTAAATATCTGCCACATTGTTGTTTCTCTGTAAACAGTTTTAATATTTTGTCTAATTTTTTTATTCTTCTTATATAACTTAGCATTTGTTTATTCCATATTCATATATTTCTACATTTATTTATGTCAGCTGTTTGTTTGTCTACGTGTAGCAATAAAGCTTATTCTGGTTCTGATTAGCACATGCTAACGGTGTCGTTATTCCCCCGCTGTGTGGAAGGCTGTCCTGTTTAGGCTAACGTTAGCAGCTTAGTTCGGCCGTACTTGTTGTCCGAGACAGAGTTACGTTTGTGGTCACGCTTTACACGGCTGTGACGTCATCCACTGCTGATTCTGATTGGCTGATACGTATGTGTCAGTGAGCGGCCGTATGTCTGCGTGCTGAACAGACTTTTGTCAATCATCAGCTCTTTGTGTTGTTTCTTTCTGCACACAGTTTTACTGCTTTTGTTTCTGTTGCTTACCCTTTATTTGGTAAAGGTCAGCAGCGCTGCCCTGCTGCTGCTCAGTGTGTGTGTGTGTGCGCGCGGCGCCCTCGCCGGCCTCAGGATGCTGTAAATCATACAGCGGTTTTATTAGCGACTCCTCCACCAGCCTTTGAAGCTACACACACACCCGGCGTCGGTGTGTTGCTTCAGGGGACTGGGAGGGTTGGGATGATGTCAGGGCTGAAACCTGAAGAGATCTCCACACATTTACTTAATTAGGACGGCATGAACGCCTCAGTACAGGGTCTGAGGGACTGATGGACTCTGTCTTTGTCTCCACAGGGACCATCAGAAGGGAGCTGCTGCACTGCAACAGTAAGTCAGACGTTTGTCTTCGTCCTTCCTGTTGCTTTCTGACCAGATATGACACCGACTCCTCTGAGTTTAATGATCAATGTTCTTCTTTGCTTCATTCAGTGGATTACATGAAATGCTGCGTACCAGCTGGCAAACTACCCTATAAGGTGCTGCCTGCTAACAGTCATCATGCTAACAGACTGAGGCTAAAGCTAACAGGTCTCATGTAACAAAAGCCACCATCCGTGTAAGGATGTGGTGGGGTGGATGGCTGAGTCTAGTAAATTTAGGACTGTCTCTCAGGAGACCGAGGTTTGAGTCTCGTGTGAAGGAAGGTCAAAGGTGACAAGTTAAATAATGTTTTGTAGATGACTTACATCACATGACTTACATGATGTACTTATTTAAACCCAAATCATTGTTTTTACGTAAACCTGAACAAGTGGTCTTGGTGCCCAAACCTCACCGAACTACCACCATTTCACATGTTAAACGCCATGTGACTTAGGACATAGCTTGTTAGTCCTTCAGTTAAAATGAACGCCTGCCGAGTTTGCCCAGTTAGTAATGATCGCTTGGGCTGAGATATGCGTAGGGTATTACCTTAAACAAGTTAAAACAACTTACCATCACAGTCCAGTGTTTTTTTTTTTTTGAAGAGGTATCAGCAGGTATCTTTTATCGGGATGGACGATGGCATTGGGGGGGTTAGCGGTCTTATGTGCACCTGTTCAGTCGCACTTCACTCGATTAAAAACTTGAAATGACGTTCCAAGTCGTTTACAAGCACAGACCAGGTAACGTTAAAGCAGCAGTGAACACACGGTGCAGATGTTGGTTTCGGCTGATTGAGTTGTTTGATTGGCTGCGTTATTAACAAGCGGCTCTGGTGATGACGCAGGGTTAGACTGGATGTGTATTCAGAGCCAGTGAGCAATGGACTTTCCAAATAGCTAAATAGTATTATATGTGTGTATAATACAAAACACTGAAATGATAGTATAGATTATGCAATTAGTCAACACGTGAGTGTGTGTGTGTGTGTGGCTGGATTAGGATGGATTAACACCGCCGTTGTCATCAGACATTTAGCTTTCTCCTCCCTCTACTCTCTTTTCAGTTTTCCCCTCCTCCTCCTCCTCTTTGCTTCCTTACCTCCTCTGCTGTCCTCTACCCCCCCCTCTCTCCACCCATCCCTTCCCTTATTATTTACTCCTCGTCTCTTCAGCCATCCTCTATTCGCCCTCCTTCAGCTCATCCCCCATCTCCTTGTTTTCTTTCTCTGTTAACCCTCTCCTGCTTTCTCTTGCTCACTTCTCCTCCATTCCCCATTATTCCCGTCCTCGACCCCTCTCACCTCCCCTCTCCTCCGCTACCTTCTCCTCCTTGTCTCCTCCCCCCTGGAGACAGCGGGGAGCAGCAGGGCCAGAATTTACATCTTGATATATCAGTTTCCTGCAGCAGTGGAGGCGGTGATGGATGGCGAGTTGCCGGCGCCGCGGCGCTGCCATGAGTTACCGTGGTGATTACCGGCACAGGCGGCTACTCCCTGGCCACTTCATCACTGTGACTGGTTGGGAGGAAGGCGAGAAAAGAGAGAGAAAAAGGAGAGAGGGGCAGAAAAACAGAAAGAGAAGTAAGAAAAACACAATTGGAGGAGAGTGCAGGGGAAGGCAGCGGTGACTTGTTGTGGCAGGATGGAGGAACAGAATCATTAGAGGAGATTCGATAGGAGGAAACAAATTGTCCTCATGTGGAAAATAGCATCAAACAGGAGGAGGAAGCAGCAACAAGGGACCAGGATGTAAATATCAAAGTGTATGATCAGGTGGAAGTGAAGGATATTCTGAGGTTGGTGGATTCTGTACATTTTGATAACAGTCTGTCACGACTCCAAACAAATGCAGTTTAAATTTAAACAGAATTTCTCGTCTCACACAATATACGTCACCGACATGTTAGCGTTGTAATGCTAAGCTAACGTTCATTGCTTGCTTGCTACTAGCTAAGTAACTTAATTATGTTCCAAGGACAGATGTTTACCTCGTGTTTAATCCAACGACCCCTGATCCTTTCATTACCTCATCTACACCTGGAATTTCTGTGACGTTAGCTTCAGTTATGTTAGCTTAAGTCATTGAGAGAAACCGTCAGGCAATGACATCACATACGCAACTTTTTGTTTTATGGTCTTTGTCATCACATACTTTCAGTCTTATGGACCACCACGGGACCTTATTTTGGAAAAAATATGTAGTGGTCAACGGCGAGAGACAATTAATGTTTAAATCCCCTTTGAATTGTGTCCTGAATTACACACATGGTGTTTGTCAGTTTAAAAGATTATTAATGTCAAGGAAGTCGTAAAACTTACAAAGATCACAAACCTTTTAATGACTGAAGCTAACATCACTGAAGCTAACATACATGCAAATCTTTTCCAGTATAAGGTCCCATGGTTATCCACCGATAGGGGAGGGGCTTATGCTCTTTATTAACCTTATCTGAGCAAGTCTTCTGTTCTCGGCACAGTTTAAATAAAATAGTAAAGAATTGCAGGTTCTCCTTTCTAGTTTACAACAGTAAATATTTTCTGGCTAGCTATATAATTAGGCTAGCATTAGCTTTCTGAGTTGGTTGAAAATTTTTTCTCCAGCTGAGTTTTTAATGTTTTACGCTAACGGACTGAGGCTAAAGCTAACAGGTTGCAGGTGTCAGCAAACAGTGTTGAACTTAGATTGCAGTGTAGAGTTAGTTAGTGATAGTATAAGGATCAAAAAGTAAAAATGCATCTACTTAGATCCAGTGACATTAACAGCAATGTTTACAGGAACGTGCTGCAGCTGAGCAGCCAAGTAGCTATGTAGCCGGCAAACAGACGTTAGCGGTGCACATTCCCCTGGTGTCTGGTGTCTCGTTCAACAAGCTGCAGGGCTAGCTGTGTGCTCACGTCTGTAAGTTAGATAAGAAGGAAACGTTAGCATGAAACCAATTTGGTTGTTGTTCACATTGTGTAGCTGCTGCTGATTGGCTCAGTCTGCTGTACTTGAACGCTAGCTTCACTGATACCAGATTTCATTGACTGATTGATTGACACGTGCTGTACAAACATGTCGCACATCTTTGCTTGAAAAGAAGTTCCACCCATGAACATAATCCAGGCAGCAGATACGTTTTCCAACACAATATAACTAGGAAAATAAACAGGAGGTTATATTAATGTAATTTCCAGGAGACAGGGATGAAGCCAGTGTGTTGATCATGTGGCAGCATGAATCCTGCACACAAAAATGTTAATTTGCTGCTTTACTTATAAACCATGTGTCCCGGGGAACTTCCACCCTCCCCTCGTCTCATCCTGTGGTTGGTGATTTCATGTCTCGGCAGCTGCTGCCTGCCATCCAGCTGAGGGAAAATCTGACATCTCTTCTTCCCTTCTGCCCTCCATAAAACCGGAGGAAAAACAGATCGATGCTGGGCAGCTTTTTCATTTTGCTGTGGGCTTATTAAAATGGAAAGTTGCAGGTCCTCGTGTGTGTCAGCACTGCAGGAGTCGCCGCTGTTAGTGGGACCTGCAGTCTGTTGTTTGTTCAGCCTGAATGAATGTTAAAGGTCCCGTGAAATGTCTTCCGTCACCATTTGACGTGATGTTGCATTAAACAGGAAGCTGGTGAGCAGAAATAAGTACATAAGCAATATAAAATAAGCAATATAAAATACTCTATTACACACACAAGTCCTGCTTTGAAAACCTGCTTTAGTAAGAGTATTTGCTTCATGTATGCTGAAAAATGTCTCCTGGCATGATATCTGATTCTATTTGAAATTATTATATTGTTAATACTGATGCTTCAATGTTAGAGCAGCGTTTTTGTGTTGCTCGAGGTGGAGCTAGTTTAAACTACTTTATATACAGTTAGCTAGTTTAAGTTAGCTAGTTTAAACTACTTTATATACAGTTAGCTAGTTTAAGTTAGCTAGTTTAAACTACTATATATACAGTTAGCTAGTTTAAACTACTATATATACAATTAGCTAGTTTAAACTACTATATATACAATTAGCTAGTTTAAACTACTATATATACACAGTTAGCTAGTTTAAACTACTATATATACACAGTTAGCTAGTTTAAACTACTATATACAATAAGCTAGTTTAAACTACTATATATACAATAAGCTAGTTTAAACTACTATATACACAGTTAGCTAGTTTAAACTACTATATACACAGTTAGCTAGTTTAAACTACTTTATATACAGTTAGCTAGTTTAAACTACTATATATACAATAAGCTAGTTTAAACTACTATATATACAGTTAGCTAGTTTAAACTACTATTTATACAGTTAGCTAGTTTAAACTACTATATATACAACAAGCTAGTTTTAACTACTATATATACAGTTAGCTAGTTTTAACTACTATATATACAACAAGCTAGTTTTAACTACTATATATACAACAAGCTAGTTTAAACTACTATATATACAACAAGCTAGTTTAAACTACTTTATATACAGTTAGCTAGTTTAAACTACTTTATATACAGTTAGCTAGTTTAAACTACTTTATATACAATTAGCTAGTTTTAACCACTTTATAATCAATTAGCTGGTTTTAAGTACGTACATTATATACAGTTGGCTAACATTAGTTTTAATACTTTATATAAATGAGCAAGTTTTAATACTTTATATACAGTTAGCTAGTTTTAACTACTTTATATACAATTAGCTAGTTTAAACTACTTTATATACAGTTAGCTAGTTTTAACTACTTTATATACAGTTAGCTAGTTTTAACTACTATATATACAATTAGCTAGTTTTAACTACTATATATACAATTAGCTAGTTTTAACTACTATATATACAATTAGCTAGTTTTAACTACTTCATAATCAATTAGCCGGTTTTAACTACGTACATTATATACAGTTAGCTAACATTAGTTTTAATACTTTATATACAATGAGCAAGTTTTAATACTTTATATACAATTAGCTAGTTTTA